ATTTGGTGATGGGAAACCCGCGGGGATTACAATCGAGATGGGAAAAAAAATGTGCAAAATGATGTAAAAATAAACTTTTGTAATAATTAAAAAAATAAAAAAATAACTCATCTTAAAAAAAAAAAAAGCAGCAGAATCAAAAACAAATACAACAGCGACCTGAAGCCATTTAGTAAACAGTTCAAACACCACGCACCTCAATAGCCTCTGACATCATTACAGATAAGACAGACAGGAAAATGACCAATTATATCCATACAACAGTTTGGGAGATTTCAATAAATATGAAGTAAGTGCTTCAAGATACCAAAATAAAATCTATCCAACAACAATAAAAAATCACCCTCGGGGCCTCCCTGGTGGCGCAGCGGGTTAAAGCACTGCACTAAGAAGCTAAAGCCACTTCTAAAGCCACTTCTGCATCAATTCAATCCCCGCCTGCCCCAGAGGTGATCCACAAGGTGTGGCAGACCTCTCCTGGCCCGCAGCTGCTCCCCTCAGCAGTGTACTTCGGTCGATCTGCCTGTTGTGCTCCCCGCTCCGTGTGTGGTGAACCCTCTCACCGTCCCTGAACCTCTGGCCTGTACCCAGTTCTGTATCCATAAATAAATAAATCTTAAAAAAAAAAAAAAAACCCTGAATCATGCATATAAACGATCTTCTATGTCCTCCATTAAGATAAAGTAGGCAGCAATACATTTCAAGAAATCCACATATAAGCCTATTAGCTACCACCTAATTATGTCTGGTGTTTTACAGCTCACAATTTATTTTACAAGTATTGTTTTCATTCTTCTGACATTTCATAGATTACAAACAAGGAAACTGACCCATGTTTTCTAAACACCTAACGTAAGGTTCTCTCTACCTCCCCATACTAGCTTTCATTACTAGAACAAAGATCCTATGACTGTATCATACAACATATACATTACTGTCTGTCACCATCTAGCATAAACATTCTTAGTCTTCTTGATGGTCTTTTCTCCTTTATCTAATATCAAATACATATTTTCATTTCCTTAACTCATTATATAAAAATGTCAAAACTCAAGTTAACAATCCTAAAATCATTTAACTCGACACATTACTGCAAACACTTTCTATAGACTTTATATGGCTATGCAGGCTTCAGATGTAAAGAAATAATACTATACAAGTACCAACTGGAAAGATGGAAATGGAGAAAGAGAAAATGGAAAAGGAGAGAGAATCTGAACTTCTACCAAACATCCCTCAAGGAAGTTTATTAAAGTGTGGTTGAAAAGGAAAAATGTCTGGAATCTCTTCTCACTATACTGATACAGCTAAAACTTGTTGGTATTGCAAGCATTCTAAACTCAGTAACTCAGTGGGAGAGATGGGTGATAGGCACATTTCATTCATATTGAAATCTTACCTAAGATCTCTCACTGAAAGTCATGTTTCTGTACACAAATTTAAAACTTGAGAATTATACACTGAAATGTATCCATTAAACAGAACATATGTTCATGAATCAGCTCACCTTTATCCTAGAAAAATGAGTATACTGTACTCATCTACCTCTAGCATACCTGAGATCCATGGATGCCCAAAAAGTCCTTGGATAGAATTTAGGGGGGTCCACTAATTTGGATGGAAAAAGACATTCTTTATCTTCACTAACTTTAACTGAAATTTAGCTTTTCCTTCAATTACAAATACAGGCAACAAATCACATTTTACCAGCAACACCTGATTTTGTCACCAGTAAATAAGTGTTCTTATATGCAATATGAAGTTACACTATGCTCAGTGTAAATATCTCAAGTTACCAAAATTCACTACTTCAAAATTACATTAGATATGCCACTAAATCTATTAAATTATTAAGAAAATACAATTATCACAATTGTATATGGCCAATTTCTCCCATGACTATATGTAACTAGTAAGGCATCAGCTATCTCTTTAACTTCTAGTTCACCTTACCTCCTTCATAGTGTAAGTATCTTTTTGTGCACCAACAGACTTTAACAACTTCAGAAGCAATGGCTTTGGTCTAACCTATAAAGAACAAAGAATTGGTATTACACTTTAAAAGTTAAATTATAAGCACAACAGCAAACATGTCCATACAAAATTTCAATAAAGTTAGTAGACATGAAGTTTAAAACCCCACTAGGTTAGAAGTCATAAAGGTTTTACTATGTGTAACAGACTATGTAAAATGATTTTCACAAATGGTAAAGGTTTTGGGAGGGAAATATTGAAATTTAATTATCAAGCAAATCATCACAGAATCCTTATGTGTCATCTGTTTCATTCAGAACAGTACCATACCAAGGCAGTGGAAATTTTTTTCTCCAGCTATTTCTATCTTCTGCCCACAGCCTTCTAAATACAATACTCCAATGAACCTACAGTGAGCTAAATTAGACTCCAAGAGGAAAGAATAAATCTTTAGGGTGGGTCCTTTTACCAGTCCTTTCTCTCTACAAATAGGTTCCTGAAAGCTAGAACTTAGTTAGCCCAAACTGACAAGGATAAATAAGAAACCTGAAATTTCAACTCCTATCCACTGTTTTCTTCCTACTGTATCATGCTACTTCTTGGCTGACACATTTCACTATCTGCCAAACATTTACTGAGCTTTTACTATGCACTAAACAGTGCTAAATGTTGCCACATTTATCTAACAAAGTTCAAGTACCTTACTGTCTGACACCCCTAAATGGTTTGGTACCTCTGCACCTCTTTTAATATACTCCAGTACTTTGTCTAATTTTCAATATGACAGCATCCAGTTTGGTATCTATTTCTCAAAACTAGACTTAAGAAAACTGCCTATTTCCACCTGATTATTTAATAATTTTTTTTTTTTAAGATTTATTTATTTGTGCATACAGAACTGGGGTACAGGCCAGAGGCTCAGGGGCGGTGAGAGGCTTCACCAGAGACAGAGTGGGGAGCAGAACAGGCAGATCGATGAAGTACACTGCTGAGGGGAGCAGCGGGCGGGTCAGGAGAGATCTGCCACGCCATGTGGTCACCTCCGGGGCAGGCAGGAATCGAACTCATGCGGAAGTGGCTTTAGATTCCCAGTGCTGTGCTTTAACCCGCTGCGCCACCAGGGAGGGCCAATAACTGAAATTTTTTAAAACTACAATAAATGTAACCCTGAATCACTGTTTTGATCACACCTTTTGATGTGCTTACTTTCAGGTTATTCAAAGTAGAAACTCAAAAAACATAAAAAATTACTTTTCTCCAAAAAATTTGTATGTGCTGTATTATCTTCAAACTACATTAAACAATTCAAATTAAAAATTTATAATAAAAAAATACCAGTTTGGGGCCTTCCCTGGTAGTGCAGCGGGTTAAAGCACAGCACTAAGAAGCTAAAGCCACTTCAGCATGAGTTCCATCCACACCCCAAAGTTGACCACATGGCGCAGTAGACCTCTCTTGACCTGCCCACTGCTCCCCTCAGCAGTGTACTTCGTCAGTCCTCCTGTTTTGCTCCCCACTGTCTCTGGTGAATCCTTTTACCACCCCTGCATCTCTGGCCTGTACTCCAGTTTTGCATGCATAAATAAATAAATCTTTAAAAAAAAAACTACCAGTTTTTCATTATAATTTAAAAGGCACATATTAGTAAGAAAACTATTATACAAGACAACCTATTCTTAGTCTTATATTTAAGGGGGAAAAAATCCTAGATGGAAATCTAGCTGTAAGAATAAAATATACTAGAACTTTGGAATATATCTGCATAATCTTGGGATAGGAAAGTTCTTTCAAAGTAGGATATAAAATTCAAAATCCAACAAGTGAACATATCTGACTTCATAAAAGCTTTCTCATGGAGGAAAAGACGACAAAGTGAAACATTTAACTTAAATACACACCAGAGTACTACTATAAATTTTTAAGGAACTACAATAAATGTAAAAATCAACAGATAAGGAAAGGCAAATCCCGGAATAAACAATTTATAGCAGCTTTTACCCTCTCTCTACATTGGCAAAATAATAAAGATTGGTAATATTCAGTCCTGGCAGAGGTTACAAAATTCTAATGAGCCAGTTATCAATAGTAATGAAGTAATTGTGTATAGTTTAAGACCTAAGGGTTCCACTTCTATAAAATTTTCCTACTTAAATATCCACATAACATTTGTGTAAGAATCATGTAAAAAAGCAACACTAGGGCCCTCCCTGGTGGCCCAGCAGCTTAAAGCACAGCACTAAGAAGCTAAAGCCACTTCAACATGAGTTTGATCCCTGGCCCCAGAGGTGACGCACTTGGCTGGGCAGACCTCTCCTGACCTGCCTTCTGTTCCCCTCAACAGTGTACTCAGTCAGTCTGCCTGTTCTGCTCCCCACTGTCTCAGTCAGTCTGCCTGTTCTGCTCCCCACTGTCTCTGGTGATTCCTTTCACAGCTCCTTTCACCTTTGGTCTTTACCCCAGTTCAATCAATCAATCAATCAATAAATCTTTAAAAAAAAAAAAGCAACACTAGTTGTAATTCTCAAAAACTAAAGGTATTTAAGAAATCAGAGGCACAAATTTTTAAAAAAGTATACTCATGGCCCTCCCTGGTGGCGCAGCGGGTTAAAGCACAGTACTGAGAATCTGAAGCCACTTCCGCATGAGTTCGATTCCCGCCTGCCGCCTGCCCCGGAGGAGACCACATGGC